AATGTAAAAAATGAAAAAAGAGAGCGGTGGGGGGGGGGGGGGGGGTCTCAAAAACATTCACGTGCACTTACTCGTGCTGTTCTGTCGTCATAGCCTTCGTCAGACATTAAGAAATCGCAGACTCCTCTGGTTGGAATACTGGTGTTCTCTGTAATCCACGTGTGGAGGTAGACTTCTCCCAACACCCGTTTCATGTGTTCCCGCGTCAAGTGCATTTCTACTGCCTCAATTTGTGCCTGTATTTCTAGAAGCTTTTCTTCCATTGGCTCCCGGCCTCCTACGTCAGTTGACTGAGGAAGAGAGTCATCTGCCAGGTCCTCCGTGTCCATGCCTCTGCTCACATCACCCAAGCTCTGCTTGCTGGTCTGTTTAGAAGTTCCTTCTTCTTGCTGATCATCTTCAGTGCTGCCTATGCCAGGGGAATCGGAAATCAAGATTTTTGCATCCTCATGTGAAGGCTTCCACATGACTTCTGAGGGAGTCTTCTGCATCGACTGGTACAAAATCCTCAGAAGGAACAGCTTAAAGCGCCAGAAATAAGTGGATCCGCAACTCTCAATCTTTTTATCCAAGGCTTCTTGTAAGAACTGAGGGATGTGCTTATCCTTCAAAATCTTCCAGCGCACAAGGTCCGTCAGGTCCACTTGCCTGAAAAGATTTTGAACAGAAGATTCCAAGAGCTGAGCGGCTGCCTCCTCAAAAGTTTTAAGAGTTACAAACTGAACTTGATAGTTTTTATTAACAGGGTGAAGACCATTTGTCATACCCTCTGTTGTGATAACTGCTAAGTATGCACCACATGGGCTTACAGCTATCCCATGAGTCCTCACAGAGCCAAACACTTCTGATAGCTTAATCAGCTGGTGCTCAAACTTTAATGCAACATCTGTGAAGATGGGAATCAGCTGCCTTACCTTTCCATCACTTGAGCACGTATATACTGTGCCATTCTGTTTATCTGCAGTCATAGATACAATTGGCAAAGAGTGAAGCCCTGTCACATGGGAATTGTGAACATTCAGGCTTGCTTTGGATATCAGGAGAAGACACCAAAACACATATGATCCTCTTGCAGCCACCACTAAGCTACAGCTACATTTCTGGTAAGGATGATAAAGAGGAATACATCTGATACTATGCACTGGCAATTGGTCCATTTCTTGCCACAAGACAACTGGTTGCCTGAGTGTAAAGTAACCTTTAACTGCTTTTAGATTGACGGGAAGGATTTTAACAGGTCCAAAAGCACTCCCTACTATGAGTCCGCTCATCTTTCGGTTGTTGTGTTCATATTCCCACCAGGACAAGACACTAGGGGAATTTATTCCAGACTCTATGGTATTGCAAGAAGTGATGGATTCCTTACCCACAAAAGGAAGTTGAAACTGCCAAACTGCAATGTTACCATTTTCAAAGAGCACTGCTAGGAGCACGCTACCAACATCCCGGCATTCATTGTTATGTTTCACCTGCTGGGTGGTGCAGATACCTGACCACTCCATACGCACTGGAGTCTGCATACTGTGCCTTCTCTGAAATTCAGAGAAGTCCCCTAGATCTCCTCGGGGCGCCTCGGTCTTAGAAATTCTGTACTTGCTTTCACAAAGACGCTCCCCATAAACTTCTGTCAGATCAACTAGCTGCACCCACTGCAGTCTGTTGAGGTTAGCGTGAATAGTCAGTCTATTGTCCATCGTTAAAGCTGCTAGTAGACATCTTCCATTAGCGTCACAGCCCAAAGGAGACCAGCTTGAATACTTGAATCCTCGCATTGATGTTAGTGACTTTCCTTCGGGGTTGAATACTCTATCTAGCATAAACGTTTGACTAACTGTTGGATCCTTAGAGCTGGCAAACTTTTCCTTACATTCTGCAACCTCCTTTTTGGGACCAACCTGAAAGAGAGTACGAACTTCTATAAAAACATTTCAATACTGTCAATGCATACAACTTAATAACTCTATATATTCTGTCCATTAGGGAACACTGGAAGAATTGAAGAGCCTTATGCTGAATAAAAGACTCAAATCTGAACGTCAAATATTCTCCAATACTCCGTGTCACCCTTCACAGGATAAATTAACTCTGTAGCTAGAGAAGTTTGTGGAGACAATTCTTTAATCTAACCCTTCCTTTACATCCCATTCTCTCTACAAATGACAAACAAGTCTCCAAACTAGTTTGTTTTGGGGCATCACTTGACTGAATTTGTAGGAAAAATTGCATGCATAAAATTTAAATGACCTTCGCTTCTGGTTTGGAAAAATCATGCTCCTAGTCTGCAGGGCCTGTTATCCAATGATAGCTTTCTTCTAGCGTACTAAGCACAAGCCCTGCATAAATGAAGTGTTTTCATATTGGCATGACCTGAAGTTTCTATTACTGCAAGGAAGCAGTAAGCAGTGAACTTCTATACGACATGACCTCTTCCAGTCTGACACAAGCCAATGCTTACAACAGTTTTCTAAAACGTCCTGAGCTATAAAACCAAAAGATTAATGTAAAACCTTCACTTTATTCATCTCTTCCCCTTTAGTCCTTCAGTTTTTATGTAGCTGGCTCTTCATATGCTATGCTTAACACAGTATATTTTATTTAATACATAAAACCCATCTTATTAAAGCAGCCAAATATAGTTACATTTTGCGATGTACAATTCCCTCGGCATCTTGCAGAGCAGCTGATCGCATTAAAATATTTCCGGGCCTGGTAACCAAAGTACTCTTGATTAACCACAAAACAGGTCATTTACAAGCAGCAGAGGTGCAAGCCTCTTGACACTGTTCTGCCAACGTGCCTTAACCATGATCTGAGAATCCGTCACAAAAACAGACTGAGACTTCAGGCATCTTTGAATTCTTGCTCCCTTGTGAAAAGGCACCAGTACAGATAATAACGCTACTTGAAGAACAGGTAACTGGTTATAACTTGGCCACCTATAACCCTAAATAGCACTTTTAGCATTTTCTGGATAAAGCTTGATGGTACCATTGTCATTTTATATAGCTCGGCAACTTGGCTAAATTCTTGTTTGCAAGTAGAGCAATTAGTTTGCTGTACAGTAGGTCTTCTAAAAGATTCATCCCATTTTAGAAGTAATCAAATGTACCGAAGTCTTTTACCCTCACTGCTGAACACTTATCCCTTGTTACTTTGAGTTTACCAGACACTGTGTCTTGCTATATAGTTGTCTGCTACTTTCAAGAGACCATTTTCAAAATCCCCTTCCCTAAGTAGGTACTTAAAGGGTATTTGTTGCAAATGAACTGGTTGAGATGCTCAACTATATTGAGCCACCTAACTTAATGTATCCAAATTAGTCCTGCTGGTAGCCATCCTGCCAGAGATGACACTAGTGGCAAAAAAGAACTCAGACCTGCTGTATTCGTAGTATTATATATTCCCTTAATACCCAGAAACACCCCATCGGGACGAGTGGCCAGCTGTACTAGAAGCTATACAGCCATCTCTGCCTTGCAGATTAATCTGCTTTAACAATACTGCAGCTGCATTTGAGTTTATTCCGCAGTATTTCAATCCAAACATTAGAAACTTCCATCATCGCCATTTCAAGAACCAGCCAGAATTTTACCATCTGTTCCATTCGTGTTTAACTTGGCCAGTCAAAAAACGCACATCTAAGGTCTTGTTGACTTTATTTATTTTTGCAGTAGCTACACGTGTGCGCGTGCCACGGAGAAGAGATCTGTCGTGCTGGTTTTCCTTCATTAGGCACAAGTCAAATAGATTTGGGGGGGGATAAAAAACCTAAGCAAGTTCAAGATGTAACCAAAGATGTTTTTAAGAGACATTTTGTGGATAAAAAAACCTAAGCAAGTTCAAGACACAACTAAAGATACTTTAAATAGAGTTTGGGGGAGGGGATAAAAAACCTAAGCAAGTTCAAGATGCAACCAAAGAAGATGTTTTTAATAGATTTGGGGGGGGATAAAAAACCTAATAAGCAAGCTCAAGAAGCAACTAAAGATACTTTAAATAGACTTTTGGGGGATAAAAAAAAGAAGGAAGTTCAAGACTGAACTAACGAAGATGCTTTTTTGTTAGGAGGAACGTTGCAACCTTCTCCCGCGCTGCGTCGCCCGGCCGCGCCACGCTCGCCTCGACCCGTGGGACAGCACGTGTCAGCAGAGGAGGGGAATCGAGACTTGCGGTCATGAGGGGCCGTATGGTGCTGGGGCGGGGCGGGGCAGACGCCCAGGGGCCAAATGATGCTTTTTTAAAGATCCCCAGGGCAGGCGCTTGCACCAGCGGGGGG